TGTTAACAAAATGCATCAGTAGTTAATAATGGAAACTAGATGGATTGAAATGTGTGCTGTGTGAAGGTTCACAGAGATACATACCGCAGATGTAACCTTATACATGTACATGGAAGCAGAGAGAGAGAGAGAGAGAGACTGAGACTAAGATTTGGAGGCTTATAGACGTGGTCCTAGCATATAGCCCTTCTATCACTTTGGACCAATTTGGATAACGGAGGTACATCTCAAGAGCCATACTTTTTCTGCCTCCTAGTATGTTTAACATCAGCTAAAACGGTTAGGAGAATTTCCAGTTTTAAATGTTATTACACTGAGTAAACAAAGAAGAGACTCCTGTTTGGAGCGACAAAATACCAGGGAACACTTGGTGGGAAAGAATGTAAATAATGAACCCTTGATGCGTCTGTCACTCTCCAGACCTCAGCTACTAAATGAAGTGGGTTACCCCAAACCAAAACCCTCATATACTGAAGGACTTTGACTCCTGTCTAGGAGACTCTTTCTGGTGTGATAAAAACGACTAGTGAGGGTAAGAAGGTGAAGGGGTACTTAGGGTAAGAAGGTGAAGGGGTACTTAGGGTAAGAAAGTAAAAGGGTGTACTTAGCAAGCAAGACATTAGGTGTGATAAGCTAGATTAGATACTATGCACTAAGTTAGTTGCAAAAAAAAATTCCACCATAACTTTATGCATTAGTTAGTAGCAAGGGTCTTATTTCCTTTTTTTATTTTTTTCTTTTCTTTGCTGTTTGATTTTTGAGTCAACATCTTGCTATACAGCCCAGGCTGAATTTGATATTGTGATCTCCTTGCCTCAGTTTCTCAAAAGCTGCAGTTACAGCAGTCGGTCACAATATCCAGCAACTTACCTCTTTAAACAAGACTAAAATATTTATTAAGCTATGAAACATCATTTGTAGGGAATGTGACTTCTTAGACTGCAAACAGTTGATTTGCGTGTGAAGTCTTGCTTTCTCGCCAGGCCCTTTGCACACACTAGGCAGGTGTGTTACTCTTGAACTACAGCACTAGGCCTATAGCTGAAAAATTGTAAGGTTCAAATGGTTTACAGCTTGAATGGCAATTATAATCACTAGATTATAATTAACTTGTATTCACTCGAATCACACAGTGTCTTATCTTTTTCTAATCCTTTAGCCGAGTCCCAAGTACACTGAAAACACAGTCATCCATGTCTGGCAACACTTTGTAAGATATAAATAAATTAATACTTCTTTCTCTGCCCTTCTTCCCTCTTTCTTTCCCGCATAATGGTGGATTCTTTCCCGCATAACGCACAGAGTTTGAGGTTGGGGCATTTACTATCAGGACTGTGCAAGGGAATACAGCTCTTTTTGTACACCTGTGTTCTGCCATGCTGAGTTTCTGCACAAAACATTCTTTATGCCCTAAATTGTGGTACAAAAAAAGAGGAATAGACCAAAGGAGGAACCCTCCTATTCATACTATTCACTCTTAGTTTTAGTAGCTAAAACCCACCAAAAATATTAAAATGTCTGTGTATGACAGAATAATGGAATAGACCAAGAGTAGAGAAATACCCATTTAGAAGGAAAAAAAAGGGAGTGGGTAACACTGGGAAGAGGACAGAAATCCTCTCAAACAGTAAAAAGAGAAGCTAATACACCATAACTGTATCCTTCACTCTCCCAGATGAGGGTGATGCTACAATCCACACCTACAGTTACCTTGGAAGGGACCCTTTGCCTTAGGTTTGCGATAGCTTCCATACCTGAGGGACAAAGAGAAATGACCACAATTTGGGGAGAAACTTTAACAATTGTAGATGCACTTAAAAATATCAAAAGAAGGTTTTCAAAGACAGACGGGTATCTAAGAACTACAGTAGGGTCTGGATCAGTAGAGCCTCTTTAAAATGCCAATGATAATCTTTGGAAATTTTAAAAAGCGAGCCTGAAATAAATACAGAAGCACAAAAGATCCTAAAGGGCTAAGGCGGCGCTAAGCAGAAAGAGCAATGCTAGGGACATTCTATAGCACCTGATGCGAAGACATATGGCAAAACCGTAGCACGTACCCACAGTAAAGCAGCGTAGTGTCAGCATAAAATAGCACGTAGACAAGGAGTACACATGCATGCACACACAAAACACACACACGGAGACACAAGTAAATCTAATTTTAAAAAGTGTTAAAGCTTCTACAGTTTAATAGAAATAATAGCATGAAGAGACAATGTGCAGAATGGTAGGAAATGTTTCTCAACCATTCATCCGACAGACATCAATACTGAGGATATAGTGAAGACTCAAGAAATATCAAAACCAACCAGTTTAAAAACGACAAACGAGCTGAGGAGGTAATCTCTCTCCTTGGCATAGACGTGGAGGAAATAAAGTCTACACATAACAAAGATGTTCATATATCCATGCGCATTACCACACTGCTCTCAGTTGTTAGGCGATACAGTCAGCCCAGGGGTCTACCAAGAGATGAGTGAATCAAGAAAATGTGATATATGAATGAAGTGAAATATTGTGAAGCCCCAAAGAATAAAATTCTTTCATTTCCAGTAAAATGAGCAGAACTGGTTGACAGTGTCTAACTGAAGTGAGGTAAATTCTGAGGAACAAGTATCGAAGTTTCTTTTATATTGGGGAAAGCAGAAGGGTTGATTTGAAAGCAGCACAGAAGTTGTGAGGGGCCGAGGTTCCTGGGCAGTGTGGTGAACGGAGGCTGGGTGGAAATGCTCAGTGCGCTCTGTAACTCTGTGTGGAGATACCACAGCAATGCGTGTTAGTAACAGTGTTAGTAACAGTGGCGCCAAAGCTCAAACCCTGGAGTAAACTCAGCTGCTAAATACTATTTTTACATTGGAGTTTCTTTCAATATGAAAGACTAGTAGCACTTCAAACTCTGTCATGTTCAGTATGTCAAATTTTAACCCTTTCTATTAAATTATTAAGTGAACAAGTTTATGAATGCCAAACAGTCAATATAACCGATTTAAACAAAAAGCACGTGGTATCTGACTATATGTTTTTTAAAACTCCCTTAGCATCTCATCTGATTTACTATCAGAAGAAATCGTGGAAGAGCAAATCAACAAATGGTGAGATCTAAAAATATATATTTATGTACATATACATATATATATTAGAGACATACATACATACACACACAGAGAGATGCATACATTCCAATGTATCTGGATACACAGACTTGGGGAGCCCCTTAGGTGCATAAACAACAATGTAGGTTGTTATTATTAAGGTCCTCTTGCCTTAGCATCTGTAGGCACCTTCCTGTGTTAGTTGAAAGTAAGAAAATGCTAAGAAGAGGGTGTTTGGCTCCTAATCTGCAACCCCCTGTGTGACACTGTCAGACTCAGCAGGAGACTCTGCTCCATCTTTGTCCCTGTGCTTCTTGTAGAAGTCTTCTTGTAGAAGTCTTGTAGGCTTCTGGAAGAGTTGGGGGGATGGAGTGAGGGGTTTCCACAGTAGGGATAGGGACTCCACAAGAAGATCAACAGAGTCAATTAACCTGGACCCTCAGTGTGGCTCCCAGAGACTAAACCACCAGAGAATGAGCATTGGCTGGACTGAGCCCCTCCTCATGTGTAGTTGATGTGCAGCTTCCTGTGTGTCCCCCCAACTGGAGTGGGGGACGGTCCCTGACTCTGTGGCCTGGCTGTGCAACCTTTTCCCCCAAACAGGACTGTCTGGTCTCAGGGGGAGAGGATGTGCTTAGTCCTGCTGTGACTTGATGTGCTATGGTGGGTTGGTACCCAGGGGGGCCTTCCCCTTCTCAGAGGAGAAAGGGGGGTTGGGGGAGGGGCTATCTAGAGGGGACTGGGAGGAGAGAGGAAGGCTGTGATCGATATGTAAAGTGAATTAGATAGATAGATAGATAGATAGATAGATAGATAGATAGATAGATAGATAGA